GGGCAAAGTTAACTCTTTCCACCCACGCAGCGCTCAGAGTGCATGACTCATGTCCCCACATAGTAGTATGCAGGTGGTGTACATCAGTACTATACAGGTATCTCGGAAAAAATATCCCGACCATTATGAAATATTCAGCATATTGAGAAAATTTAATGTCTGATAACATTAGATTAGCACATTCATCAACTGAATTTTCATTGTGGCGTAAGTGTAAAGCAGTAATCATGCCAGGTCTACTCAACATTTTTCCCAAAAAATTTCTCCAATTGTAAACAAACTGGTTTTTGACCTCAAAGGCCACACGGACCATTCAGAAAGTAAAATATAACTTTAACAAGAGTGTATGTCTAAAAGGAAATCATTGCTACAACATTTTTGTTTCTATATCACACTGATGCCGATTGGTGCCCCAATGTTTAAAGAAGATAAAGATAAGAAAGGAGATTGGGGATGAGATGGGATATGGAGGTAGGAAGGAGGAGAGATGAGGGGAAGTTATTTTTGGGGAAAGAGGGAGGGGAGGGAAGGTGGTGGAGGAAAGGCGACATGAGGGATAGCTGTTTTGGTTTTGTTTGGGAGGGGTAGTGGGGGTGGGGAGGAAGGAATGGAGTGGTGAGAGGAGAAGCGGAGTGGAAAATAGGGAGGGGGGGTGTATATTGAGCAAGAGATTTTTAAGAACATTGTTGAACACAGGTACCTTTTAAAAATAGCTTTCAAACAATCAGTGTCTGTGTATCTGTGTTTTGTGTGTGTTTTATTTATATATGACATATGGCTGTTTTTCTATTTCAGGATGAGGAGAAGACAATGGCTCAGATGGGAACAGCAGCACCGCAGGACACGGAAGAGGTAAGGGAGATAAATGCTGTATATGTGTATGTGTGCTTGCATGCGTGTGCACATATCTCGAAGAGCTGGTAGTCGGCTGAAGGAATATGTTTAAGGGCATACTTAGTTGTCATTTGCTTGTTCTTCACTCTCTGTGTAATTGTGGTTTTCTTTCCTGTTCTTGTGCCTGTCCCTCATCATCCGCCTCATCTGTCTCTTTGACTCTCAATCTATCAATCCCCCGTCTCTCCTGCACCATACCTCTGTTTATTACTTTCTTAGTCAGTTTTAATATCTTTCTGTCCATCCATTATCATTCCATCTAACCATCTGTCTTTCCACCTGTGTCTCAGTCCAGTTATCCATTTGTCTCTCTAGTCTTTCTGTGTGTCCATCTGTTTTGGTTTTACTGTTTGTCTCGCTATCTCTCTTACCATCTGCCTCTCTATCTATCTCTCCGCCTATGTCCCCATCCAGTCATCACTCATATTTTGTCTCTGTTTGTTTCTCCTTTGGCTTACTGTCTGTTTCTCCATATCTCATCCGTCTCACCACCTGTCTATTCACTGCCCTAGGAACAAGAGAGGAAACGACAGGATGAAGTGGATGGACTGAGGGAAGAGCTGCACAAGGTGACCTCTGACCTTGAGAAGCTTGACCTTGAGGTGCGAAAGTTCACGGCCAGTCAGCAGCAGATGGATGAAGTGATAATGACTGAAGAAAAGAGTGCGGAGGAGAAAAAAGCAGCGTACACTGTCAAGAAGCGAACTCTGGACCTCCTGCCTGAGGCTGAGGCTAACATTGGTAAACTCCAGGTTGGTGGATTTATGTTTATTGTGTAGCAATGCCAATCGGGCTTTCCCACGCGGCGAAAATTTGGTCCCCGTTTGCGGGTAATTTTGCGTACCCGTCCGAAGTGTAGGTGACTAACTTTGTCAACCTCGGTCTGCTCTATTTCGGAACCAATCCGAATGAAACTCTGCAACCAATCAGAAAATAGGGCAATCTAATATGTGGACGTTGAGGTTCGTACACATAAATTAACCGATACTTTTGGTGTCGGGAACACTTTTGTATCGGGTACACCGAAAACTATAAGGAGTTTGAATTTCAACGCCTAGATGGTAATAGATCTATCTATCCTCTGTAGTGTGCTCAGATTTGAACGTTCTGTGTCAAGTAGTTGTTTAGACCCGATCATAAATGCACGACTACCCCCCTATCCAAAGCGGCTTCTAACAGAGACCGGCCATTTTCCCCTCACTCTCGCATCAAATGTATGTGAACTACAAATCCCCGTATGACTATTCCGGGCCCATTCATTGGTCACTTGAAATAGGGCAATGGCGGGCGCGCGCATCCAGTTGTTTTTCTCTCTGCTCTCCTGTAACATCGCAATGGGGGTATTCCGAGGCGAGCTCATCTCGTCTCGGGGTGTTCACGTCTCAACGGGAAAAAGAATTTTTAATTGTACGGCATGCTAGATTGAATTAACTTACTTTTACGGTTGGCATGGTCTAAAGTCATCATAAAAGGCTTTGCAATTATTTAGTGGCGCTGCCGACATATATTCTTAAAGATCCAATGTTGTGGTACGATGCTATAAATAAAATGGACTCATCCCGACACCCCTTTTTCACAAAATTGTAATATGTACACCAAAATTGTAATTATAACAAAATAACTACGAAATGGGTAGTAAATCTGACTGAAGAAATGATTTCTACACCCAAAAACACATCGGGTAGCCAAGTTTCTCTCTAACACTCCGACTAGTTACCGAGATATCGTCGATTTTCTTACAGAATCTGCTACTGCGTGGTCCACTTTTTTGGAGTATTTTCCTATATGTGGGTCATCCATATTTTGCCGACCTTTACAACCCCATAACTTTTTAAATTTATGAACCGATTCTTAAAATTCAAGAAGCATAATTCTTAGAATTGAAAATTCTTTCTTAGGTACCAAATAAAAAAGGGCTAAAGTGAAAAATTAAATTTTCATTGGCATTGCTATATTGTGTCACCAGTTTTGTGTATCATCTTAGTGTATGTGAAGTCATCATGACATCAGTTGTATGTCAAAAGTCATCAGTGCACTGTGTCATCTTAGTGTAGTCCATGCTCTCAGTAAGTCAAGTTGTCATAGTTTCTCTGTCATGCTTTCTTTACTTTTTGTCCAATTGTTTTGATTGTTCCCAACACTTAATGATCATAATTGTGCTGACATGCTTCTCTTTACTCAAGACCAGTGTGCTTGTGATCTGAACAGTGCCACATGGGAGTGGGTGTCTTCTGTTTTATTTTGTTCTCCCCCCTATTGATATACTGAAAATCTTTCCTCTCATGCGTACAGTCACACGCTTACCTTGCCCCTTCCTCTAGCCTTTCCAAGTTGTGGTAGACAAGTGCTCAGTACACATACACACACATCGAACATCTCTTTCTGCCGTTCCCCCCTACCCTCAGACCATGGAAGACTCAAGAGTCCAGCGTCTGGTCACACTGACGAAATAGAGGGAGGATCAGACAGTTATACCCGCACAAGCTCACTCACACACACACACACACACACACACACAGATCTAACGTTTCATTCTGTCTTTCTCCACCCAGGCTGTCGTAGACTCCAGTGCGCAGCGTCTAGTCACTCTGGCCAAGCAGTGGGAGAGTCATAGAGAGCCGCTAATACAGCAGTACAGAGAACTCAGACAGTTACACTCACAAAGAGAGGTCAGTGCCGTTACATTATGTATTTTATATATATTGACTGTGCCGTGTAAGACTATCATATTTGTGTATTGTGTCACTTTTCAGAACGGTGTATGAGAAGTCTTACACTAAGCAGTCGATACATGTATTTAATGCAAGTTACTTTTGGAAGTTTTGAAAAAAAAAAGAAAGAAAGAGAGCCCAAATCAGAACTGTGACTTAAGCATTCCTTATTTTTCAATTAAAAACCAGGAAGGAAATAATGAAGCTATTGTTAGATGTCGCTTGATGTCTTTCTTTGAATAAGGGCTTTATCTGGAAATCCCAGATGTTGACTTGGGCGCTGGAGAAAAGAGGCTAATAATGATATATGTTACAAGAGATATTAAAATATAGAAGAAATACATCATTTTTGTATATATTAAATAGCCTTATTAGATGTTATGTAATAAATATGATGTCATTTCCTTATAATGCACTCTTATGTGGGGTTTGCCAATCTACGCTCAGAAGTTTTATTAGTATGAGATCAGAGGAGCCTTTTTAAAACTTTTGTTGTTTAACCTAATGAAAATCAGTTGAAATGGTACAAGACTGCTATCCATTGTTGAGGAATAACTGGTGTGTCTTAGATATATGTAGATGTCTAGCACAGTGTCATTATAGTAAAGAGAAAAAATGCGAGGGGGAAGTGAGAAGTCGTCGTTTGTATAGGTGATTGTCTTGGACAGATGGCCGTTTAGAGCAGGTTTGATTGCACTTCAAAATGACTTCTTATTTCTGTCTAATAATTGTCTAGTAAAAAAAGTACCCATTCAAAGAGCAGAAAAAATATGATCAGAACTGGGATGTAAAGGAATTCCACAGTGTCCTGTTGTTTTACTTTTTGTTCACAAGTCATCGAAGTCTGTCAAACCAAGGTGTGTAGTTGGGACAATTTTGTGTTAAAATCTATTTGTACGTCTGTTCTTCAGTCTGAGGCGGAGAAGAAACTGGAGGAGATCAAAGTGTTCCGGGCTCGCATGAAAGAGTCAGCTGATGAAGCGAGGCGTAAGGAGGAGCTACAGAAACAGCTGGTAAGGGAGTATGTGTAGGCTTATGTGTGTGTGTGTGTGTGTGTGTCTTTGTGTGTGGAGTTTGTCCATGTGAATGTAGAGTGCATGCTTGTGCTTATGTAATATAATTGCGTGGTATGCTTTCTCTTGTGGAGAAAACAGTCTGATGGTCTGATAAAAGAAAGAGAAAAAAGAGAATAAAAAAAAATGATCTCCTCTTTTAACCATTGATCTTTCACTTGTTCATTAAAATGTAAACTAGATTTAGTCTTTTTAAGTGTAAAAAGATAATCAATTTATTCTGTGACTTCAGGTAATGATTATGTTTGCTTTAGAGATGCACAATAATTTTAGCAAACGGAAATGACTGTGGTGGAAGTCATAAGCTGCTGTTATTAATTCTTGTCTCTATGTCCCTTTCCACCAGGTGTCTGAGTTTGAACGCATGACTAAAGATGTGAACCGATCGGCGTACACACGGAAGATTTTGGAGATTGTGGCAAACATCAAGAAACAAAAACAGGAAATTGATAAGGTGAGTCCAGATATATGAGGAATTTTGGGGATGGGAGGAGGGAGGAAAAAGAAATAGAGACCGGAGATTGATATGGTGAGTAAGAGTTGAATAGGGATGGTGCGGGAAATGAGGAGGGGGGTGGGGGGGGGGGTCAGGATTTGTGGCAGGGAGGGAGTTCTAAGAGAGGGAGTAGGGTGTTTATCTGTTTGACTTTCATTGTGTGTGTGTGTGTGTGTTTATTTGTGTAATTTACCATGTGCATGTTTGTGATTTTGTTCATGTATGCCTTAAATTGTGTGTTCTTTTTTGTATACATGTTCCCATTGTGTGTGTGTGTGTGTTTGCATTACCTATGTAATGCTTGCTGTTGAGCAGGGATATGTGCCATACAAAGGCTATTTTTTATTATTATCTTAAACGTACATCATGTGTGTGTGTGTCTCCTCCTCAGATTCTGGTGGACACAAAGAGTGTACAGAAAGAGATCAACTCTCTGTCCGGGAAACTCGATCGTACCTTCACCGAAACGGATGAACTTGTGTTCAAAGTAAGTCTATTTATGTGTGACAATGGTCTTTTTTTTTTTACCTTAGGTCTTTGACCTAGCAGGACAGTGAGTTTGATACTTTTTGCATTTAGGAGAGTGCTGTGTGGCTGTGGGCTTGTTTGGCCTCCACTTTAACAATAGTGTCGTTTGACCTGGTGAGACAGTTCATGTGACCTTGACCTTGGTACTTTTTTGCCTGGAGGCAGCTCATCTAGCCTTGATTTTTGACCGTGGTGCCCATTATCCTTGAGTAGACTGCATTTTAGTTATTAACACTTTTTTCTTTTGTCTCTGATGTTTGGACCATTTTAATTTTGTTAACTCACTGACTACGTATCCCGTCACGGGTGCGGGGCGGTCGATCGGTTCGCAGGTACGGATCCCATACCCCCGACAGGGTGGACTTTGCGGTTTTGTTCCGTATCTTGTGCTCCCGTCACATGAACGGGAACGGACTCCAGTGCTAGTTTTACCTCTTGTTTCATTTCGTGCCGAGTTTGGCGGAAGCTTCATGGTAACTTTTTAAGCAATTGAAGGTGAAGGACAGTCACCTCATCTGGGGTTGACCTGACCGGAACTCGCGCTATGTTTTTTCTATACAAATGATAGTAATCCGACAGTCGTGTCGAAGTAACGGTCGCATGAACAAGAATCACATAATTTCGCTGTTTTCGATACTTCTGTTCGTTTTGCTAGTTCTAGTGACTCTGGATATGATTTGTCTGATTGTTAGGACCCTGGATATGTACCCGAACACGGCTCGAGTCGTAGTTTTAGGGCTAGATCTAGCACGGGTACTGTTGTTGTTGTTCGCTTGACGAAATCACAACTTCGTTCCCTACATCTGTCTCATGTAATTCAGTGTATGGGTCTGAATAAACGCACAGACCAGCTTTTATATTTTCACCAAACACTCACACATGGATATAAATAAAAACAGAACACTTTGAACTTTTATTTTTGTTGTTGTTGTGAATTTCATTCTATCTGTCATGTCTCTGGAAATTTTTCGAAAAATCAAATTCATTCCAATTTTGAAACAATCATAAGAACTTAAGTATTAGACCTACAGAACTTAATTTGTTTGCAATAGATTAAGTTTGAAAGTTACTTTATTGTGTCAAAAAATAATTACAATAGGGTAATTCTGAGAGTTGTGGTGGTGTTTTGAAATACCCCCCAAAATGCCAGTACGCAACACTAGTGATTTGTGAAAGGGGCCAGTAGTCAGTGAGTTAACTGTAGCAAATTTTGACTTGTCTTGAACGTATTGTTTGAGGGTGCCACCGGTAGGTTCAATCTCTTTTCTTTCCTTTTGTTGTTTCTATCTATCTTTCTTGCTTATTACCCCACCATCCAAAGGACCGTTATACAGTGGAACTCGGATTTAACGAGCTCGGATTCAACGAGAACTCGGATTCAACGAGGTCGCTTTAGGGTGAAAAGCCCCTGAAGACGTGGCTTTGCTCATTTTTCTCCCAGAACGAACTTTATCTATTCCCGGAAACCATCCATTGCACCTGAATTGTGAACCATTATTCACTCAGCCGATTGCAAGCGACCAATCAGCGGGGTTTTTTTCATACCAACACATGCGTTGTTGGCACGCACACGTGTCTACTCTGGCCTGTATCGGGGTCGTATGGGCGGCCTTGCCATGTTTGGCTGTGTGTGCATGTCGGGGGGGGGGGGGTCCGGGCGTTGAACGTCGCAGATACAAACGCGTCAGTCTTTTTCCCCCTCGGCAACTGATCATTATTACAATGAATAAGCTAGTCTTGACGTAGATCTACGTAATGAATTGTGCGCTGGTCTATGGAATCAAAAGTTGCCGTATGCTAGGCTCTACACAGCAACACAACTTTTTGGTAAACAATCCAGATGACTCAGGCATGTGTATTTGAACGAATAGGGTCTTTTTTTTTTACACACTCATAATATGCAGGCATTTCAGGCACTACTTGTGACTTCTCTTTATAAATACTACTTGTTTAATGCCAGTAATTATCTACACGAAACCTCATGATTGCTATAACGAACACTCGGATTCAACGAGATTTTAGGTCAGGCCCGGCGACCTCATTAAATCCGAGTTCCACTGTATGTGTTGATGTCCCTATTTTTACTCTAACTCAAACAAAGACCTTTTTTGATAAACAGTGGGCCATCATATTTTATGGACATAGAAGTTCAGACTGCCCTACATCTCTATTCTGATTTTAAAAAATTTTTTTTATCAGGATGCCAAAAGAGATGAGAGTGTGAAGAAGGCCTACCGCCTGTTAGCTGCTCTTCATGAGGTGAGTCTTGTTCCTTGATTCCTTCTTCACTATATTTCTGCCTGTTGTGATTTTAAAAAAAATGATTGGTAGTGTTTTTCATACACATGGCGACATCTACTAAAATGCACTCCAATGTTTTAGAACTTAAATTTTTTAGAGAGGGAGCCATCTTGTAGTGTAAGACTGCTCAAACTGAAACTGAAAGGCTTTGTAAATGTGTTGCAGTGTTGTTTTGTGTATTAAAGAGATCTGTGAAAGTTTATGGGTGCAAGGTACAACCATGTTACGTTAAAAGAGTTTTTGAAACCTCAATTTTTGGTTATGATGCCTAAACCGTTGCTAGAATATAAGTTTATACTTTTACGTATTAAGGCCAGTTTTGCTGGGATGAGAATTGTTCTTTTTACTGGAGAATCCTTTGCAATTCAAATCTGGATGGTTTTTGCACAGACTACATGTCTATTTGATGTCATTTCAGAACTTTGAAAGTCTGATCCACACAGTGGAGGATACGGGAGTGGTAACAAGGGAGATAAGAGACCTGGAGGAACAGGTGGGTGTCTGTTTGTCTATTTTGTGGATGTGTCTGTCTCTTGGTGTGTTGTTCTTAAGTGTCCAGCTCTGTGTGTATATCTCTTCTTCTCAGTATGTCTGTTAGTGCGTTATCTTCATTTTGGTGTCTGTCTCTCCATGTCTGAGTGCCTATTTCTATGCGTCTGTGTTAATTTATACTTGTCTATCTGCACCTGTTGTGGTGTATTTGTGTGTATATATATTTGCTTTTCTTAGCGGGTGCATTCTCACTTGAGGGTTTTCACATGTATGTTCAGTATGTTTTAGAAAGTTTTTTGTCTTTGTCTCCCACTCAAGTGGGTGGTTTGCAGGCTTTCTAGTATGGTTTGCTTTTTCTTACCTGTTAAACCTCTATCATCCTTATCTCTCCTCTTTCGTAGGTGGTTAGCGGGTGCTCTGGTGTGGTTTGCTTCTTCTTTCCTATCAAACATCTTTCGTCTTTATCTCCCCTTCTTTTTTATGTTTGCTACTCTCTTGTATCTCCTCTAACCTTCTGGCGCTCATATGACCTTATGCAGTTGCGAGCGCCGTAAAACTCTTACTAAAACTAAAACTAAAACTTTCCTCTTTCTTCTATTTGTATGTTACTATCTAGTAACACATCTTCATCTAATCTTTAGCGCTTGTATGACATAATTGCGTTGCATGTGATGTAAAAACTCTTACTAAAAAACTATACTGTCTCCCACACAGATTGAGTCTGAGAGCAGCAAGAAGATCCTGAGTAACTTGGAGAAGATCTCCGAGGATTTGCAGCAGATGAAGAAAGAGAACTCTGGCCTCATCGCTAAGGTCAAGGGGAAGTGAAGGAGCAGGGTACTGTGTGGGAGTGGTGGGTGGGTGGGTGGGTTGTGGGAGTGAAGATTGGAGGAATGGGAAGAAAAGGAAGAATAGTAGCAGGGTGGGCTTTTTGGTGGGTGTGTGGGGTATGGGAAGGAAAGGGAGAGGGGGTGGGTGGAA